AAGAGCGTTTTGTGTAAGCAGTGATCTAAGGATTTTCTATTATTGACAGCTTTGGTCACAAGAAGAAATGGCTACAGGGCACTGGAGATAAGCTAGAACATAAGTAGGTTTACATACGACTACGCTTATTTTACTAAAAAGGCCTACAGATGCGAGTGATTCAAAGTTAATGAAATATAATTTCAGTTCTAGTATTCTTTGTGAAGGCCCGAGGTGTGCTTTGACATGTATGTTGTTGAACAATCAGAATCATAATTGTGTCGAAAGGTCTAAATTCAGTTAATATGATCGTAGGAAATGATAGATTTTAACTTTCTAGCAAATAATCACAAATTAAGCTACAATAAATAAGGTTATCAAACATGACGCACAAGCAATCATTCCTAACAAGTCATTAAATTTGCAAGGCATCCATGTGGATCGTCAAAAATAAATCATATTTATACTATTTAAACTCTTCAATAAGTCGATATGAAAGCCCTTTATGCTTGTAACGCAAACGCACATATTTTTCTTTCAGTAGCTCCAAATTAATAGCTTTCTCCAAAAGATGGTATCTTTTTTTCACGAAGTCCACAATCCTTCTCTGTATTTCCCTAAATTGATAAAGCGTAGAATAATCAGGATTTGATTGGTTTGCTGCAGGAGATTCTGAAAATCCCTGCATAGTAATACGAACATTAGAATATTTCAGAAGTGAATTCAAGTTAAACACCCAATAAAATTGCTAAAACAAACATTTGGCACATATCCTAAGTTTACATTGTTAGTTGTCTGGTCTCCACCAATAAGGGAAGGTACTTTGATCACAGGAAGGCTCAACTCTTGGCGAACAATCTCCGCAATTCCCACATCCTTATCCTCAACTATCGATTGCCATCTAGCATAGCCATGTCTGACATTCAACAGATGTGAGTGGATTATTTATCTCAGTTGGAGTAAAAAAACAGAAAGCACAATTAGTTGAAACTTGCAATTCAGCGAAAAAGAAAAAGTTAGGCTAAAACAAGCAACATAAGGGAAAATGCAGTATAGAACCAGAAAAACTAAATCAAAAGCCAGTACCCATAGAAAGGCATGTGTAATTATTTGAGCAAAAACTGTTGTTAGTGCCAATGGACTGTCAATCATTGGAGATCACATACACACCAACAATGACGCACACTATGTAAACCAGCTAAAATATTCTATCATTTTGAATCCCAATTGTCTTTGTGTAGACACCCCTCGAGGGTTAGAGCGTAAATAGAGAAAAAGAAGAAAGAGAGAAAAACAAAGTGTGGACTTGAGAAAATGAGAGCATAACCTTTTATTCATAGAATAGCCCCTGTTTATAATCATAGGAGGCCTAAATTTACAATTACATAATTACCCTTCCTCCCTTATCAGTTTAAGGGCGTGCAATGTCTTTCTCCTAATCTTGAAGCGGTTAATCTAACTACCTCTGTAATACAAATAGACATAACTTGCATGAATAGTTGTGACTGTTGAATCTTATACTTGACAGTTAATATAACTGACTTTTGTCTATAGTTGATAGTCGCCTAAGCCTTGACTGATTTTGTTAGCAGACTGATTCTACCGACCGTCTGTATTTGATGGAACTATCAGTCCGTTGAGTGGATGCGCTGAGTTAGCCGATCGCTTCATATAATTCCTATATACATATTAGTTCCCCAATTTTATTGCTCCTTGATAGCTAAAACAAGGAAAAGAAAATAACTAAAATAATAAATTTCATTAAAACACAATGATTACTCCATAGTTTTTCGTGCCCAAAATTCTACAAATAGAGTTTGTGAAGCATTCCCTTCTCATTCAAATATGGAATCCCAAATGCCATCATGTCTAACGCGAGAAATTTAGATCATTTCGATGATGATGCTATTTGATGGCCCTTGAAGAGTTTCAACTCCCCTTCCATCCTCTTCCTCTTCTCGTGAGCGAAAAAATGAAAAAAAGATGGTAGTTGTGAGGAAGACGAAACACAAGGAGCCTGTGTCCAATTTAAATGACAAAGTTGCTTCTTCCACCATCCCTGATGCCAATTGTCCAGAAAAAATCTTAAGAGTGGAGAAAAATTGTCATGAAACTTTAACTTCCCCTGTGGGTGTCATTCGGATTACTGAGGAAGAGATTCGTCGGGCTGACGATCACCCAGGAGGCGACTGGGGATCTAGAACAACTCAGAACGACAGTAATCACCAATATTCCACCTCCGCCTGAAGTACAAAAAGATAATGTTCCCATCGATGATTTAACCATAATTTCCACAGAATTGGGTAGGTTGTTAAGTATGATCGACTCTGGTTGCTTTTGGTCTAAGACTTTTCTTTTTTTACAATATACTTTGATTTAGGTTCGGGTGTTGCGGTTCAGACCGGTGAAAATATTTCATCGATTGATGTTGTAGCTGATCTGCTTCAATCTCTATGTCTGCACTTCAACACCCGATCAAAGAGAGTCAACAGCCGATCGATCAAGTTGTTAATCGGTTTGCAAATCTTTTTACCACTAGCAAGAGATAAATGGAGACAAACAATAGTCTTCCAGGTTGTTGGAGCGCAGGGTAAATGAAATGGTGGATTCCTTTGAGCGGGCAGTCGGAGGATCAAATCGTGACAACATACGAGATTTGCAATCTTGTTTTGAGAATGGAAGGGGGAAAGAACTATCTTTGTGATGAGGTGATAGCTCTCCAAATAGAGCTGCAGGTCCGCCGGTACAACAAGAGATCAATCGTCGGATATAATTTCAAGTTAGGCTCTCGCTGTGTACCAAATTAAAAGGTATCTTCAACTGGACGAAGTAATTCCTGCAAAAGTCATGCTGAATTCGATCGTTGCGATCATGATGTTCGTCATCTTTTGGCACCACCTTAACATACAGTGGTTGACCGATCTATTCAATTATTACTTTCATTCAAGATTGGAAGGATGGTCTCGCCAAACTTTCTGTTGGTTATAGACTCACAATTAGGGTTGGAGAACAAAATAAAGAATTGTAGAAAGCATTATTTGGTTGGTTCTTGTTCCGGCAATTGAGGAATCAAAATTACTATTCAAGATATGTCGATGAGTAGGATAAAGACGTTTCCAAAGCATTTGGATTCCAATGGAGAAAAAATTAAGAAGCAACCATTATCAGTACACCAATGAATCGATCACAAAGTCGTCGACCGAGTCATTCGACCGGACATGTTCAACCATATGACGAAAGAGCAAAGGAGGGCCATAGATGTTAAAGGAGGCTATTCGAGTAAAGGAAGCTGAAGAGAGAGCCACCAAGAGGAAATCAATGGGTAAGCTAACCCTTTTGAAAAAAAGACAAATCCAAGGAAAACCAGAGAAGATTGTTGTCGCTGGTGCAGACACCACAAATGCGAATTTCATTTGTTCTAAATCTAAAACAACCGTCGTCATGCAAACGGTGTCGAGACCGAGGAAATAATTATTGCTCGCATACCTACAATTTTTTAGATGTGACACAATCTGATTGCCATTTGTGCTTAGGTCGGATGCCTCAGAAGGCGAGGCTTCTGAGGCTGAAGTGGGAACATGAAAAACCCCATCACCAATCAGCACACATCCACCCACTTCACAACTAGTCAATTCTCGCTAGACCGATCCATCTTATCTAAATATGTCTGCAAGGGTTGAATCCAACCATCACACCTCGATTGATCTATCCAAGTCTTCATCAAGGAAGGGAATAGAGCCTGCTCTCGAGTTGGATCCTCTACCATCTCTCAACAAAAAATCACATCCCTTTAGCGAAAAGAGGAAAGAAAAGGCTCTCATGAAAGTTTTAGATACTTCTCCTCCTCCTTCTTTGAAAAAGGAAAGGTGTGCCTTTTGAGCGGTGCCCGATGCGTGGCAGGGCCAAAAAGATATTTATCGGTTCTGACCATCAGTTTTTCATGGTGGATTCAGCTAAGGATTAGTTTTCAAATTCTTCCGAGGTTGATAACATTCCAACATTGCTTTTCTAAGTCATGTGGTCGATTAAGTTCGAAGAGCTTTGAAGAAGCTTGACCGGGAGGAGCTTCAACAGCATTTGATCCGACATCATTTGATGGGTATGGTAGCCAACCACCTTCAATCTTTCGTTTTTTCTAAATACGTGTGACCAATAGCCAAGGATGAGGATAAAATGACAACCTTACAACTGGCTGTAGGAAGAGAAGCAGAACAAGGACATCGAGGGTCGATTCAAACTTTCTCTTTAAGGGAGAAAAAATGACAAACTGGATTTCAAAGAAATGTTGATTTTTTTTTATTAAAGAAAAAGAAGAGTTCAAAGCGACCGTGGCGAAGTCGATCACTCAACAAGAACACATTGCTAGAATCTCATAGCTATTCCATTGGGCATCATTTCCAACCGACAAGTTTATTGAACATGGGCTCGTAAACCCAAAATATGTCGATTCGATGGCCTTTTAGTCCCTCCTGTTATAAGGAAGGTAATTCCTACGAAAGAAGCTGAAAAAGGAGAGGAAGAGGAAGAAGATGGTTTAGCAAATGCCACGTCCCCTGTGCTCAAATAGACCTTTACTTTTTTGCTTTATAGTTAAGTTTTTAGTAAAGAAAATTTAGTAAAGAAAACTTGTAATTTTTTGTTTATGGAATGCAAGAAATCATTTCAATCATTTTTTTTACATTGTAATGCTTCTTTTATGTATGCATTTTACCGATTGTTTACTCATAAAAAAAAGGTCATTCGCTAAACCGGTAGTTGAGTTTTCGTTCATCCCATAGGAGAATCTTTGTCCATCGTGTAGGAGAGTCTTTCACCCGTCCTGCGGAAGAGACTTTCACCTATCCCGTAGGAGAGTTTTTCGCTTGTCTCGTAGGAGACATTCACTCCGATCAGAAGTCTTAATAATTCACCGATCGCTTAATCTCATTTAAACCTAAATTTACACATAATTAACCATCTTAAATCTTCTTAAAAATGTAAACTTACAAGTGCTTATAAATGATACTCTTTCGAACAATAAGATGTTTGTACACAATTTTTTCTAAGGAGAAATCTCTTCAGATCATCTTCACTCCACATCCATGGGAGTTCTTTTCCAGTGTAAGTTCTTAGTTTATAAGCTCCATGAGATGCTCAATGGCTAATGATGTATGGTCCACTCCAAGATTGATCCAGTTTGTCGAACACTTACCTGTGAGCAGCTGGGTCGCTTTTTCAGAACCAAATCTTGACGGCAAAGAATTTCTCTCGAACAAGCTTGTTGAAATACCGCGTGGTACACCTCTTGACTTCCTTTTACCGAAGGGCTGAATTTGCTCGTTTTTGTTCTGTCAAATCGAGGGCAAGCAAGGCTCCTTCATTTTTGGCTTCTCGCCATTCTGCTAGATCTTCTTTGTCGAATGTAGAGTCAGTGACAACTTTGTCTATGATGATTGTAATTGACAGACAAGACCTCCCACATCTCATGTGTTAACCTAAATGGTGATTGACAGGCCATTGTCGAAGTTGTCGTTTGGATAGCCTAGAGGACAGATGGTAACAAGTCCGGCCAATTTCCTTCGACTCCTTCAATTTTCTCCTTAATAAATTTAGAATGATCTTATTGGCTGCTTCTGCCTGCCTGTTTATTCATGGGTGATGGGCCGAAGTAAACTTCAGATCGATTCTTTGGCAGGCGCAAAAATCATTCACTCTTTGGTCAGCAAACTGTCTTGTTGTCGGTAATGATAAAGAGCAGCAAGTTATACCGATAGAAGATATCCATCTAGATGAAATTTCAAACCACTTCTGCAGTGATTCGACACGTAGCTTTACTTCGAACCACTTGGAATGGTAATTCACGACAACCAGTAAAAATTTTTGTTGGCCTTTTGACGACGAAAATGGCCTAAGAATGCTCAGTTCCCAAGTGGCAAA